TGGGGACCTGCGGGTTTCGCGTTATGCCCCTTCTGAACAGTCACCCAATCTCCTTGCTGCTCGGGAGTTGCCGGGGGACGGCTAAGAGGAGCTACCTTTTGCCGGTCCGCACCGGCTAACATGGGCTTTACTGTAGCTGAGTTATTTTCTAAGATGCGGAGCAGGGCTTCTATGGCTATGATTCCCGCCTCCAACCTAACAACTATACTACATTTAACACATGTATCGGTACCAGTAAAGGAGGTAGGGAAGTAACCAAACATGAGACAGTTAGAGCAGGAAATAGCACCCGAGGGTGGGGAAAGAGCCATGGCTAGCTATCAAGCTAAAGTAGCTACTGTTAGCAAACCCGAAAAGAGTGTAGGCAACTGTGGAGTTACAGTCGCTAAGAGAAGGAGAGTTGTGAGTGCTTAAGCTGTAGTAATGTGTGATGACAACGTCAGGCAGTTGCCGTGATCAAGAGTTTTAAAACGATCGATTAAGTTAAGATAATAAGCTATCAGCAACAGAACAGGCACACGGGATACCCGGAGATGACCGGAACAACAACCGGAAGTTACAACATGCTTACCGCAATAGTGGTCCGTGTAGAAAAAACCCACAGTGTTATCTCTACCCTCTACTGATTTACTGAACACCTTAGTATTTCTGCAGCACAGTACTAGATGGTGTGGCAGATAAGTATAGTGTGAGCTGTGCTCTTTTTGTAATGGCAAAATGGAGGCCACATTGTGTATGCATAATGCACAGAAAACGTTTGGGTGAGCACTGGGGGTCCAACAGCAAATTATCCCCCTGATGTCTTCTAATAGGTTAATCCAGTTGTGAACTGGCCATTCCTGTTTGGTTAAAGCTTTACATTTGTTACTGCAACTATCAGGTTTATTCTCCCCTCTCGTTTCCCCTCACTAACAGGACTCCTGGGTCATTGAAAGGTTTACTGCTCTTGCATGCAGAAAATCCAGACAAATGCTGACTAAGCCATCGCCAGGGAAGCCTTCTTATTGACTGCCTTAGTCAATATGAAGCATCTGCTAACCTATTTGCATGGACTGCTTATTGATGTTGTGTTACGTTACTTGTTTTGTTTTATTGACTACTGGAACCCTTTGTGCTGCTTCCACTGAAAATGTCCCACTCATATACTGTGATTCACCTGCTCTGACGTAATGCTGCTCTCTGCCTCATTCAGGGTCTACCAGTTCAGCAAGAGGCATGCGATGGAGGAGTGCCGGCAGCATGTCGCTCTGAATCAGGGCTTTAAAGCCAAACTGGAGGTTCAGAGGCTTCTTTTGAAGGAGAAACTGGAAGAGCTGGGCTCCAAAGATCCTCCCTCTGCTCTGAAGCTCGACCAAGACAACAGCTCACTTTCTCCAAACTCAAGCAGCGTATGTTCTCTCTGCCAGAGGCTTAGCAACTTTTGTCTTTTTTTAGCTCCTAATCTAATTAGAGGATTACTTTGTTGATCATCTTTCACTCTGGCCCCACCAGCAGGTGGATTAGTGATTTTAGTGACATGTTTCGACAACTTTTGGATGGATTACCAAGAAAAATATTACAGAGGTTCATATTCCCCAAAACATCCTTTCTCTTTAAACAAGTGCCACCATCAGGTCCATCGTCCAACATTTTGTTGACCAAAACAACACAAATGACAACCCCATCAACCTAGGCTGTACTTACAAACTAACTAATAAGCCAATGTTAGCACAGGTATTAGCTAGGGCCGCAGGTGAGACTTTTGAAATGGGGCGGACGAAACTGAGAGAAATTATTTGTTTTACTATGTGTTTTACAATCATAAGTAATATTAACCGTTATTAATATTCAAGATCAAATATAATACAATGTAAGTATGTATATGGATTAACAAATGAATTGGTATTTACCTTTAAGTGCAAGAAGAATAATACATAAGGCGTTTGAGGAAATAACAATTTAGAGGAATAACAATTAACAATAAGTAAAAGTAATCTATATATTACACATATATATATGCATATTACAACAATCTTGGGAACAAATATGCATATTGCTAAAAATGATAACAAAAAAATCTAAATATATATATTTTTAATATAAATATATATATATATATATCCCTATGAAATTGGGAGGGACGTTCCGTACGGCGGCCGATCGATCGGAGCATCCCTAGTAATCAGAAAGCGATAAGAGCTTTTATCACACCCTAAGCATGTTAGCATGCTGACATTAGCATTTAGCTCAACGCCAAAAAAAGCTTCACCGAGATACTAGTGTTGGAGTAGAGTTTTAGTCTCGTTTAATTTGATCAAGTCACCAAATGTGTTCCTTAAAAAAAGTCTCATGTTCCAATCGACCCTGTGCACTACAGATCAATGACTAATAACCAAGCCCATCATCTTAACCAATGCTACTATTTACCCCCATTTGGAGTACTTTTGATCTTAATTTGTTTCTGTTATATTTATATTTGTAAACATTTATTCACCAACAAGATGTGCTCTGGGTATTTTCTTTCCTTTTTCAGTTCCGCAGCCCACCTCCTTCCAAACTCCTCATGGATGGGATAAAAACCAATCTAAGTGGCCTGTTTAAACCCAAGTGGGAGGTAGGTTAAACATTGAATTCAATCAAAGCACAACAATTACACTCACAACAATGATAGATGGAGTACAAGTGGTTATGTTTGACTGTTGGCTCACATTGTATAAAAAGAACAATATATTTTCTCAGTTTTTTGTTGAAATACATGAAAAAGCTTGTTGAAGGCACTTCCCTTCCTCACCCTCCATCTTTGCTGCCTTCAACTTGCTGTCTCTGTTTGTATACACTCAACGCTCAACTACACAACAATTCATCATGTTTTGGAGACAGTGTATCCACTGCACTGCTGAGCTCTCTGAGGCACATGTTCTTTCTCAGAGGCGTCGTCTTCCTGAAAGCCTTATTGGACTTATTGAGGTCAGCTTTGTCGGTCATAGTCACTTCCGATATTCTTCATGACCTAAAACTGAGTTTACTTCTCAGGCAGCAAGTTTATATCGTTTCTCTTCGCTGACAGTTAGAGCTATGAGCCAGCTGCACACAAACTCTCAACAGGAAAAGGCCTTGTCATTCGGTTGTTAATCTGTCCGAAAGATACAAATCACTGTGTGCATAATGCATGCTGTAAAAGATCATCTTGAGCAAATATAAAAATCTGTGTGTCTATAATCAGAGGACTTCCAGCCTAAATTATTGGCTGTTTAAGTTTGAACTACTTTTCCATCTCCTAACTCTACGGTTCCCTGGAGGTATGAAGGTGGTGCCGTTCGACTTTAAAGTATTAGGACTCTTTGAAATATCTCCATATATTCTATGCAGAATCTCCCTTAAATCCACCTTCAATCACTTCTTATTGTTTTATTATTCATGTCAGCATTAAAGATTCTTCTTGTCTGTCTTCCTGCCCCCAGGTGCCTCCAGCCGCCCCCCAGCTGCAGGAGGTGGATCGCCCTCTGGAGCAGCAGGACTGGTACCATGGAGCGATACCCCGCCTCGAGGTCCAGCAGCTGCTGAAGAGTGACGGAGACTTCCTGGTGAGGAAGAGTCAAGAGAAACAGGGAAATGTGCTCTCCGTGCAATGGGAAGGGTCCTGCAAGCATTTCCTCATCCAGAGCGCGGATGTAAGTGAAGAGTTCTACAAAGACACTTTACAATAAATGTGTGACTACATCATATTTTCTCGAATATTTCTGTTGCAGTAAGAGTATGTTCTAAGAGAAGTTCATGAAAGGTCACTGTTGTTTTTTATGCAAATTAAACAGAAGTCTGGATGCTAAGAATGAAAAAATAAAAATGTATACAAGTTATTTAATTGATATAAACCAGGGGTGTCAAACTCGCGGCCCGCGGGCCAAATCCGGCCTGCGACCTCATTTTATTTGGCCCGCAAGAACTTGCAAAGAATATAATATATACTACAATTGGCGTAGTTGTTGAATATTTGCTTTCAATTATATGCCCAAGACTTCTACTTTCAGACGTAGTTATTTATTACCAGAACTAATCCAATGCAGAGCCAATAATGTAATATAATACATTATTTTCTATTTATTATATATCTATATATGTATATTTATATAGCCTTGAAGTTACAACCGATCCTTTGAGTGCAACCATTGTGCTAATGTGGCCCGATCTAAACAATTGAAAAGCCTATTTTTGTAAAGTTATTCCTTCTTCCTGTGTGTTTGCACATCGGTTGACTGGAAATACTTCTCTATCTGTGTCAGTAGAATATGTACCGTCTGGATGGAGAGAGCTTCCCCAGCGTCCCACTGCTGATCCATCATCTGCTCTCCTCACGACAACAAGTCACCAAGAGGTCTGATATTGTGCTGAAGAAACCTGTGCTCAAGGTACACACACACACACACACACACACACACACACACACACACACACACACACACACACACACATTTAACATACTGACTGCTTCAATGCTCGTCACAGATGAGCACACTTTCAAACCTAATCTCTAATAATTTTTCCTTCAAATTGTCTTCCATGTTCTGTCTTGCTGATGCCATAGCTCTATGATGCATCTTTTATTGTTCATTTTAAACCCTTTAGGACAAGTGGGTCCTGGAACATGATGATGTTATCTTGGGTCCCCTCATCGGACGGGTAGGTAAACCTAAATCTATTGACAGAAAATGTAGAAATGACAAAAAGCAAAGACTATTCTTCCTTGATAGATATCCACTTGCTCTATGTAAACCAGACTGCTGTGTATGATTTCATTTAAGCTGCTGCTGAACTTTGGCAGTCATTTTTTCATAGAAATTTAATTTTAGTACCTCATCACTCACAGTGAAATAGCGTTAAGAGCTCTCTTCACAGCCAGTATGGGCAGGAGGAACAGTTACAGCACCCAATAACCATTTATTTGAACCAATCATTCAAATGAACCTACCAATTGTACATAGTTTCAATAGATTGAACACTTAAAAGTAGTTAAAGTAGAAGAATTGAATTGCACATTCGTCTCTCATTTCCTCTCAAATTGTCAGCAAAGTGTCCACATATGGTAACAGTTCATCAAGGAGAATTGATCAGATTGAAAAGAGAATTATAAAAGCGGTAACAAATCATGCTGATGTTCGTGCCACACAGGGTAACTTTGGAGAAGTGTACAGTGGCCGTTTACGCTCCAATAATACTCCTGTAGCCGTGAAATCCTGCAAAGAGAACCTGGCCCCGGAGCACAAGAGTAAGTTCCTGATGGAAGCCAGGTCAGTACACACACACACACACACACACACACACACACACACACACACACACACACACACACACACACACACAACCTCTCCTGTGCTCTCTAGGATCCTGAAGCAGTATGACCATCCTAACATTGTGAAGCTGATAGGAGTTTGCACTCAGCAGCAGCCCATCTACATCATCATGGAGCTCATTCAAGGTAAATATAATCCTGTATCTCAGTTTATATAACCAACAAGCTGTGCCCCTCCATCATGACGTGTGTGTGTGTGTGTGTGTGTGTGTGTGTGTGTGTGTGTGTGTGTGTGTGTGTGTGTGTGTGTGTGTGTGTGTGTGTGTGTGTGTGTGTGTGTGTGTGTACACATTTCATTAGGTGGTGACTTTCTTTCCTTATTACGGCATGGGAGTCACAGTCTGAAGCCGAAGATTTTGGTCAAAATGACAGAAAATGTTGCATCTGGTATGGAGTTCCTGGAGAGCAAGAAGTGTATTCACAGGTTGGTTACAAACACGTTTTTTTATAAGGATCTATTCACTTAATCCCAAACAGCATTTTGAGATAAAAATGGTGCTCATTTTGACTGCGCTAGGAATACTTGTAACTTGTGTGAAATGACTTGGTCCCATGTCTGCCCATAAGCAACCAAGCTAAGAAAATGAATTTGCTTACTGACCTTTAGAAAGCTTGTTAGAGTCTATAAACTTTATCATTCCCAACTAAAGTCAGCCTTTAGTTTAGTGTCCGTTACTTCATGCTACCATACTATAGTAAATGTATAGTCTAACGCTTTACTGCTGGCAATTGCACTTAAAAAATCTTAAATGTTCTGTTCATTTGTAAAGACTATTTGCTGAACGAAACCTGTGAATAACTATCATACATGTGTGTTTGCCCAACAGCCTATTTTCTGCAATAATCAAAAATCCAATTAAAAAATCCCTTTGGTTTTGTGTCAAGGGAACCAGGCCAATGCTTACCTTTCTTACAAAAATAAATCATCCCTACACCACTATATTTACAGATTTACAAAATGTAATAAACAAGGATATACATAACTAAATAAGTAAACAAACTTACACCAATAATTATGCTTTTATCGGAGGACAGTGAACTTCATCTCTTAGTTGTACAGCATGGTGGATCTAAGGACACCACACAAGCACCACAGAGCAGTGACAAGTAATGGTTCCAATGAAAATATATTACATATTGAAACATGTTCATTTTACACAGGAACAAGTGTGGAACAAGCTGCAGGCAGACGGATCTGAAAGCCTTTACAGTGCATAATACAGAACATAAGTCACTTCCCTCACATTAACATAATCCAACTGTTAACCAAACTGCACTTTCCCCAAATCACTTCCACATATGTTGATGTAGCCGTCAAACTGTTATTGAAACATAGAGACAAAAAGTATTTTTAAATAACTAAAAGCTGTTTTGTCTTCGAAGAAGCTGGAACCACGGTCTGCTGGCTGACCTACAACGTTTTTTCGTTTATATTAAAAAACATAGCACTGCCATTTATTCAGGAGCCCATTACGTTCGTTTGGCAACCTGCAATAAGTGCATTGAAACCAAACTCAAAAGAAAAAAGAGATAAGTGTCCTCAAGAACTGGAACTGCCCCAAAAAAACATTTAAAAGCTTGTTCAGAAAACTACAGTGCTGTATTTTTTATGGGTTTTGAAAATAATAATAAAACAGATACAAATAAGCACCAAAGTATAATATAAAATCCACAGAAAAGAGCCTTGACTATATTTTCATAAAGTTGAACTTAAAGTGATTTTACAAAAAATAATTAAAAACACTTTGGAGCAAATGAAATGTGCCAAATAAAACTAAGCACTTTAAAATACAATAAAACATGGTCAAACGCAAACATAATGAAATAGGAAAATCTTTTTAATTATTAAAGATAAATATTTCACAGGTCCATAACAAAAGCTGTCTGTCTTAAACTCTATACTGTTGGTAGTTTAAAAGGAGAGACAGTGAACTTATCAAACCATTCAGAGTCTCTTATCTATTAACGTACACTAATGCGATTTTATACCAGCTGTAAAAGAGACAGGGAGGAAGCGCATTCTGTAATTGGTTCTGTTTGAACATTTTGTACAAGCTAAGTGTTACGACTGGATAAACGGGTTTGAACTCAATTGCACGACTCACACAGGTTTTTACAAAAAAGGTTTTATTCAAACCAAAACTCCACGACAGTGGGAAACAAAAACGAAATCACTCTTAACGAGGAAAAACAGTATCAAAACAAAGTCGCTCTTGATGAGGAAAAAACACTAACAAAACAAAATCACTTCAATGAGGAAAAATACTAGGCGCATGAATATAAGAATACTTAGACAAGACGTGGCTCAAAGCTCTGCTTGGGATTCTTTCTGGCATGATACGCTGGTAGACTGTCACAAGAAACGAAACAAACTGGCACAGGACAGAGGGAGACGAGGACAATAAATACACCAGGTAATGGGGAACAGGTGGAAACAATCAGGGGCGTGGTCGACAATCACAGGAGTGGGAGACACACAAGGAAGGTATGTCAGAGTATCTGAAACGAGAGGCAAGATTACTATTCAAAATTAAAGGGGAAAATCACTAGACAAAGACAAAAAAACACTTAACTAAACTAACATAATTTGCAAGAGATGACACTAAGATGAAAATCAGGCTCACACAACCTCTGAAGACTATCTCACAATGAGGCTGAAACTCATTTAAGGATCACACATTAAACATAATCCTTTAACATAAAAAATAAATTCTTATCAAAAGAGAAATGCGTGAAATGTTGAAACCAGGGTGTTTTAGTGGATCAGTTGCATGAGTTATTTCTTTTGGTGAGGTATACATCCAGGCTGTCAGTGACCTGCAGAAAACATGAGGTTGTGACACAAGGCTCATTACAGGAGCACTGTGAGATTTGCCCGGCAGGCACAGATCAGAGCTGCTGCTGCTCAGCCTGTAACGCTGCATGTCAATCTGCCTCACATGCTACACTGGAGACATGTTCTCTCATTTCTTAGAGTCCCCTCAGTTCTCTCGCCATGTCTTTTTTCAGACAGAGCATGATGCTTTTGTGTCTCTTTTTATTCAATGCTTTATCAGCCCATATATTCATCACTGACATACTTTTCCCACTGTCTTGTTTTAAGGGACCTGGCTGCAAGAAACTGTCTGGTTGCAGAGCATAACGTGGTGAAGATCAGCGACTTCGGGATGTCCCGTCAGCAAGACGACGGTGTCTATTCTGCAGAGGGCGGCCTCAAACAGATCCCTGTCAAATGGACGGCTCCTGAGGCACTGAACTACGGTACAACACAACTGTTTCTGCCCTGCAATCACAACCAGCACACTACTCCTGGTTCTGTCTGCCAGCAGTCAATTGAAAACTAACAGATATGTGCCTGAGCCTTTGCTGATGCTGCCCCCTGCTGGTGTGTTCAGGTCGTTATACTACAGAGAGTGATGTGTGGAGCTTTGGGGTCTTACTGTGGGAGGTCTTCTCCCTGGGAATGACGCCCTACACGAGCATGAGCAACCAACAAACACGAGACGAGGTGGAGAAAGGTGAAGACTCGTCATGCAAAAAAAATCCACTGTAAAAGTGTTTTCAGATTCCTGCTTTTTGTGATGCATTTTCTCAATTTCACATGTCAGGATGTGTTTCAGGATACCGGATGCCTGCTCCACACAACTGCCCCGTGGAAATCTCAAGGATTATGACCAGCTGCTGGCAGTACGATCCCGGAAATAGATCTTCTTTCAAGAAACTTCGGGCTGAGCTCGGTGCCATATATAACAAAATTATGTAATACAAGCCTGTTAATAGAACATATTCTGTACTTTATTATTATTTTGTCTGTTTGATTTGTTCTGTTATTGTGCATCTTATTTTCCTACCCACATTTTTTTTTCCAGTCTCAATTTCATAGATAATGCAAGGTAACAAAATAAAAAAAATATTAATATACTTTTGTTCAAGAAATAAACTTCTAAATGAAGTTTTGAGGACTTGTTAATCACCTGTGAACCAGATGATGGCAGCACTCTTGTTTCTTCCCTTCCTGCCTGTGGGTCTGTGTTTCATTATTTCTTCTTCTAAGAACAATAGGTTGTCTTCAACCTATCTGCAAAGATATGTGCTGCTATAAACACAACATACTGTGGTATGTTATTACCTTTACCGTCGAAACCAAACACCCGTGTGATCTATCTGAAAGGCTCCATAAAGATGTGTCAAACGCTGCCACTCAGATAAGGTTTTTGCCTTGTGTGCTGTTTATGTCAATTTGTGTTGCCTTTAAGGTTTTCATGATCGAACTGCAGATCTCCCTTTCTAGGATCGTTTTTTGTCAGGCAGTGGGAACCATCACTACACAAAAATGTGCTGTACTTTTGACTACTTTTGCAAAGGATGTTTCTTTGTATGTGTTTGTGTTTTCTTTGTAAATGTACTTTCAACCGAAAATCTGACCGAACAGCAAAAGTGTGTATCTTACAAAGTCTGACTATTCCAATGAGCCAACTAACAAGCTAGCAAGCAAGCACCAGCAAAATACTGTTAAACAACTGCAACCAAAAGAAAGAGAAAAAAGAAAGAGAAAAAAATCCAGACATTACAAAACGACACAACAAGAAAAACAATGACGAATGTGCTCCAGGCACTGTAGCAGGATTTTGACAGACGCACTCAATTAAATACATTTAAAACGACAATTACATCACATTACATTACTGCTTTTGGCAATGCAAAACCTTCAAAGTCTTTTAATCAACCTTCAAAGACTTGCCAGGCACAAATCAGTGTTTAGTAGCAAAGGTATAATATGATGTCCCCCCTGGTAACCTTACAAAGCATGTCTGGTATGTCTTATTTTCCCATCGTTATGTGAAAAAAGCAATATATTGTATCAAACATTTTATTTGTTCAGCCCCTGACCTCTGATAGAGAAAGTGTCACATTAAGATTTACCAAACGAAGAATTCTTTACTGACAAAGACAATGTATGACTCGCTCATGACAAACTAATTTGACTCAAATTCTTGGAAAGGCAACCTGTCCTCAGCCTTCCAGTGCGAGAAATATTACCAATTCTAAAAATGTTGACTTTACCATCCCAGTTGACTGGTTGCTCTTTAGTCATTGTATCCCAGCACTGCATTTATAATGATTGCTGAAGAAACAATTACACCTGATGCTGTAGATTAACAATCTGAAACTAGACTGTAAACTTGAAATCATTTTCAAATGCAGACACAAATATCTCTCCATTTGTTATTTTTTAAAACAACTGTGACAAATGTATATAATTTGACACATGATTAAAGTGAATCTATCCCCAGCAGTCCAGGGTGCGTGTTTTCAGATAGTCTTTAAACAAACAAAGCTCTTGGTTTGATTCCTACCCACATATTTCTTGCACAGAAAACACAAAGGCTGCTGAAGTCTGCTGACATGTATCTGTTTGTTGAATACACTAATGCTTTTCGTTACAATATCTAATCTTTTGGGGCCTGAATACTTTGCTGTGAATAAATGTTGCGTGTATTTTGAGCTTTGGACAAAATGTAACCTCAGCTTGCTAAAGATTTATTTTTTGCATTTCTTCCCAAAAGTTAGGGAGCTAATATGAAGGTAGATATGGTGCAAAATGCGAGAGCGTGTAAAACCTGATGTGAGCACTTGCAGAAAAGAAATCTGAGTTTGTGTGCATACATTTACACTTGTATAAAATATCCACGTAACTGTGAACCAAATGTACACTTGTATAAAATATCCACGTAACTTGAACCAAATATGAAGTCACAGAAGAAAAAAAAAAAGTTGTGTAGCTTGTAGAAAAAAAATGAACTTAGTGATGAAATGTCCTCTTGCAGAAAAATACATATTTTTTAAATATATTTTCCATTACAACTGCAACTTGGTTATTACAACCTCTCAAATCAGTCATTACAACTTGACGAATCTGCTCTGTGGCAGTATAAATCGACGAATCTGCGGTCGAGACTTTTGCTACACTTCTTGCGATAAATGTGTAGCAAAAGTAATTTTCACCTGTAGATGTGGGGGGAGGGAGGGGGGTTGGAGCGAAGGGGCGGAGCTATCAGAACGACGAGGCTTGACTGCGGGGCTAACGGTTGTGTCGCTACCAGTCCGCTGACATGGCGTGTCAATCAACGGTAAGTTTTGCCCATTACTTGCCCAGTATTACTTTGAATATTATTATTGTGATTGAGGATCAAATCCGCTTTGAAGACCACCGTTTTATATCGTGCAGTTTAGCGGCAAAATAACGTCAGTTAGCCAGCTGACGCTAGCTTTGTTGAGTTTATGCTAGCTAAACAAGTAGTGGTTGTAGTCTACAGCAGTAATTAATATATTATAGCCTACTGCTTTGGCACTAACGGTGGTGTTTTTAAAG